GGCCTGATTTTAATGGAGGAGAATCAGAGTTCTGATTTTAGGTAATAAATTAAGATTTTATGATTAGCAGGAATTTTTTGTACAGCTATCGTCTGATGCAACTGATAAGTAATGTTCCCATAAATGCATCAGTACAAGATAAGAACATCCGAAATGGAGAACATGACTGCACATTAGATTAAATTGCATCCCGATTTTATTGCAGCCCGCTGGACATTTCTCTTTCCTCGTCGTCCTTCTCTATCGCACTGCCAGAGAAAGTCCCACTGTTGTCGCTCGTCCCCAAAATTCCCTCGTCGGGTGCATCACTTCTTGGCTCATGGCAGACAAAGGACAAATGCCCGTCTTTTCGTTCAATCTGGAGTAGGACGGAAATTACGCAACTTTTATACGCATTCTTTTTTTTCGATGGATGGAATTCCCTGAGTGAATTGGTTTCCAGGGTCCTGGTCGAAGTATAAGTATTAGAAATGACATGAGTAACCGGAAGCCGGTGCACGGAAAATTCTGAAACAACAGATGGAAATGCATCTTATGCTGGAAGTAATTGGTTAGCAATCCTTCCATTTGGGGTATATTCTTGACTGATGCTTTCTCTGGAACATTTTTAAATTAACAACTCTAAACAATTTGTCACGGGCTCCAGCTACTTTCTCGAAAGTACTTTACCTACGCTCAACATGATCATGATCTGATTTGACTCAGCTTTTAAGAAATTCCTATTTCTTGAAAGAAATTTCCTCCTAATCGAAATTTACAGAAATAATTTTTTTTTTATTTATTTAAATTGTACCTCAGGCAGAATAAAAAAACAAGAAATTTGCCTTCGCTAATGCAACTGACAACAAGATCAATGTAGTTTATGGTACGTTACAAAGTTGATTATAAAATTTCTCAAAAACTGTGTAACTGAAAGCTGGCGATAACTGAAGGAAAATAAACTCGACGAAAAATGGAGAAAGTGGTTTCCTTAAATCTTGGTCAAAATTGAATTCAAATTAACTACACGCTTTTACGTATTTCAGAATGTCACGCCATGATAACCTTCACAACACACAATTCCTGATATATTTTCAATCCACCACCGTTTTTCCCCCACGTACACATCAACAAACACAAAATTCGACACCAACTTACCAACACCGTTTAATGTTGACACGTGTCACAAATCCTCGTTGTCGTTTGGTTATTCGGCTTCGAATCGTTCACAACTGGCGAGTTTTTTTATCTCCGGGAAAGTGAAAGCGTAGTCTCCCATGGAAAACAGGTGGCGATTGTGATATTTAACAAAGTTCGCTTGGTTGGCGAATGGATACATTTTGTAAAGACTTTCAGCCCTGCTCAACTTTGCGGGGGTTCCAAGAGTTGCTTTCTCCTTTGTTATACGTATGTCAGATGCAGAGCGTGGAGTATGCGGAGAGTGGTGGGGATGGGATTTTTGTCTGGAAGGATTGAAGTAAAATGAGACTGGGATAAAATGATGGCAGTTATGAGGCGTCGCCGTGATATCGAATACCAAGAACGTTATTGAAAATTTCTGAATTTTAGGGTGACAATATACGGATTCTTTCATAAAGACTTGAGATTGGAAATTTGTTAGAGCTGATTGCGTAAGGATTACAACTAGCGAACGATGGCGATGGAGAGATTTTTCAAGCCACCTACATATAATTTTGAGGATGGATTTCCAAAAGAAGTTGGGTATCAGATTTTCTTGAAATTATTTAATTATGATAAGCCTGGAGAGACTGAACTTAAATTATCCGGCAAAATTTTTGCGTATTATAATTGTAGGTTTTATTACCATTCACCCACGCGTACTCGTCACATATTTAATCCTGTCCGAAGCAGTAATCCCGTCATAAAACAAAAAGAAACTGGGTTGACATTTACCCAAAATCTGGAGTTGATACGCGAAGAAAGAGAAATGAAGTTTATTTTCCTTGCTTCAATCCCCTCCAATTTTTCGGTTTTTGACATTTCCTTCAGTTTGTTGGGAAAAGATTTTCATGACCAATTTCTTCGCCAGGCTATTCGTCCGTAATCTAATTTCCCAACCTTCTCATTTTACGACATCGAAGCTACTGCTTTCTACCTGCGCCATTCAGTAGTAATCCCCCTCGTCTAATCAGTCCCTGCGCTGGCTGGTGCCCCATTGTACGTGGGACAAAAGGAGATATTAGAACTGCTGCAGCTCAAGAAAGTCTTTTCATCTTTTTATAAGGACCGACGACTAATCAGATCAGTGGCGAGTGGAGGAAAGCGAAAGAGAGATGAGGAAATCAGGATGCATTCAGGAGGATTAAATCATCTCATTTCTGGAAGCCAGCGTAGAATTCAAGATGCGTTTATAGCCATCAGAAGCGACCTAGTCGATAGTGTCAAAATTTTGACCCAGTCGGTGGAGGTGGATGACGAATTGAATTTTTCCTGAACTTGTGAATTTCAAAGATTTTTAGGGAAACATTGTGACGTAGTTTGGCCAACAGTAGGAAAACAAATAGATCAATCCCATAAATCACTTTGCCAACACCAGCACCACGAAGGATTGCGTTATTTGACCCGTTGGCTTATTCGGAATCTTTCACAATTTCCCTATTCAAATTTCGGAATCCTTTTGTGTCCCCCGGTCACAGCCAATCGTCGGACGGCATCTCATTCTTCTTCTCGACTATCTTTCTCTCTGGCACAACGGATTCGGAAAGTGAAAGTTTGCGAAAATGCGTGGGGTAAGAACGCGAATGAATGGAAATGCTCACTAAAGAAGTTTCCAGATTCTGCATTTCCCTCGCTTGGACAACACAGCGGTTTCAAAATAGTAAACACGAATGGTCATCGTCTTTGGTATTCCAGAATTTCAAGTTCTCTTCGTTAAAAAGTACAGAAACCCGAAAAATATGCATGCTAGCAATGGATTAAATCCGATATTTTTTAAAAGAAAATCCGTCAGATTCACACATGTCATCGATCTGATGCACTTTGAGGTCGAGGATATTTTTCAAATTCGTTGCCGAAATGGATCTCCTTTTGTGAATGGAAAAAATGAAATGTGGTCAAGATTTGGGAGAGAGTGATGGGACGAGCGAAATGGAATAGGATTTGAATTTGGAAAGAATGAGAACTTCTCATTGAGAAGCATTTGGATATGCGACAGAGATGAATTTTTTGCATATTTTACGTTAAAACCGAGAGCGTGAAATGTGGCTTATCAGAAAAAGTGAAGTGAAAATGATGAGTTGAAGGGAAGATGAAGAGAGATTCTGACCAATGATTTTACATATTTTCTAAAATTGAATATTCGGAGTACAACATAAGCAACTTTTAAAATTATTTGATAAGTGTTTTTACATATATGATACTTAAGTCTATTCATAAAAGGTCATCTACTACACAAAAAATCAAATTGACTTCAATTTATTCAGGTCACTCATCTTTTGCAAACACATCGCATAGTTACCGTTAGCGAATATTCAACATTATACTAAATTTTAAACAATTAATTTCCTCGAAATTGAAACTAGGTATGCAGATCGAAAAATGTAGTTATTCCGCCTTTTCCACATTCGCCTGTCCTGCCATCCCGATTTCTGAAAAGTCGACATGTTTGATCAACGTTTATATTTCATGATGTTGTAGCGCTTCCTATTTCACTGATCAATGATTTAGGTAACTACACCTGGACTGTGAAGTTTTGGATTTCCATCAGAAATTTCAATTCTATGGGATTGAATGGTACACTTGGCCCGTGATCGATTTAATCTGGGAAACGTAAATCATATTTTAGAAATAGAAATGTATTCGATTGCAGTGTGAATTAAGATTCAGGTGCCATTTAAATAATCGTTCATTGTTCTATTAATAGATTTATTCAAGCAATGCAATTTTCCCAACCGACCAGCATTTGTTATAAAAAGTACACCAACCAAACCTGGCACGATAATTCACAGAAACTGACCACGTCTCATTGTGTATGAGCATATAGATTGGAACATGGGAGAAGAAAACGGAGAGAAAGTAATCGACTCACACTCGTAATAATCATTAACATTGAATTGTAGATGGATGTGGGTTTGTCATGACATGAATCCAGTGGGAACATGCTAATGGAAATTTGCCTAAGCAAACTGTAGCCCATTTTATTCTTCACGCAAGTTGCAACGTACGGACGAAAATTTTGATGATGTTTGTAATACTAAAATAATAAATATACTTAATTACTTATTTTAGCTCAGAGTTAAATATAACTTTAAATTTTGAGCAGTATCTTCACATTCTCTGTAAATGAACGCACTTTCTCCATTGAAGTATCAAATTACTCGTGAGAAGCCTGTTTTCTCCTTTCCAGCAAAACAAGAGAAATCTCCACCGTCCACCGTCAACCGTATAAAAAGCTAGTTAATGGTGATTCATTCCAGACATGCAATCTTTCCTCAGCCACACCAAACTCTCGCATTACGATTTTATTTATTAATCCAAATGAACTTGAAGATGGGCGACAAAGACTGAAAATTTCTGTTCCATTTTCGCACATTGTCCACGAAAGTCTTTGCCAAAAATATGACATTTATTGCTCAGTTTACTAAATTAATAGCGTAGTCTCATGAATTTTAACTATCGCAAAAAGCTCATGAATTTTAGTGGGAAACTAGAAAACTGGATTTAATTTATCAACCAGTTTATTACTCTCCTGACTCCATTTCTCTGTAGCCCTGTATTTTTCCTACAAGATTTGTGATGCAATTTTGGCCAGCAAGAATAAGAAAGCGGAACACGTGGTTCCCAAGGGATCACTTTCCGTGTATTGTGCGTGTTGGCAAAGCCAGCAAAAGTCCTTCCTTGTTGTTGGTATGATGTCACTTTTGTAAATAAAGTGACTGTGGAAATGACAATAAATTTCAATTTCGTATGTGTTCAGGAATGAGACACCATGCATGTAGCTAAGCTGAATCTTGTGTCCGAGTTGCTGTATCAGAATCAATATGAAATTCGTTTCACGTATTTATTCATACAAACATTGACGACCTGTTTTATTCTTATTTATCATCTGAAAAATGCGATTAACAAGTTTAATTTCGTAAAATGATTTAATATAAAAACTTTCATGTTTAAAAAACACTCCTAGTTTCAAAATGGTCCAGCTAGATTACAGAAATCTCTCCTCCACGTGTTTCTCTTTGGTAAAGTTCTTCGGACACTGAAATCCATCAATTTGAATCAAACTTCCCGAGCCGACGGATCGGCCAGCATAATGCGAATCATACACTTCTTCGCCACTTAGTTTATTCGATTGTCCTGCAAATGATGACAAGTGGTTCGCGTAAATGTGTGAATTATTCGAGGCATTCCACCTAAAACCATAAAAAAATTATTTTTTGAACCAAATTTAAAGACACAATTGATACAAAAATAAATTTCGGAAATAATGTAAGAGAAAATTATATAAGTTGAACTCACCACTCGTTATTTTTAGTGTTCGGCTGGATAATTTGTGCATAAGCGTACGGAGAGACGTCGGACCGTTTGTGCAGCGGACTCTCCTGCGACGACACCAGCGACGAATTTAATCTCGTGCTTGACTTGTTTTCTGGCGCTGACAAAATATCGTTCCAGAAACTGGCAATGTTTGCGTATGAGTTCGGAAGGGGTGGCGGTGGGTGTGACGGAGGTGACTGGTCTTTGACCCAGGTTTTCGTATTTCTCAAGAGACACGCTGGGCTGGAGGAGCTCGTCGTCGTGGAGTTTGACGGATGGTAATATTTCTCAGTTGCGAAATCAGTGGAGTTGTTATTTCGCTGGTCAATTTTTTGCAGCCGTTTCTTCAAACAGATGAAGAACACGACTGACGCGATTGACGCGGTGACGGCGCAGCCACCAAGCAGACCAGCCAAAAGCAGCGATGGTGTCGTCGATGGAGCGTGAGGGTGGTCCAGCGGGGTTATCGGGTGCGATAAGTGAGTATTGTTGATAAAGTTGTCGTGCAGGGGCGGGATGGCATTTGTGCGTTTTTCCTTCGGTGTTATGGCGACGACGGATGATGTCAGTTGGTGGTTTTCTGAAAGGCAATTGTTTTCTTGTACCAGAATAATTATCTTAATTGCGTAAGAAATTTGCACTGACCTTTAAGCAGACAAATCTTGTTCCTCTTCACGTTCACATTTGTGACGTTGTGACCGTGGACGTTGTTTTTCGTTGCATGCTTAACGTTGAAGGTAAATCGGATTATCACAGGAACCTCGGTCGTCAATCGGCCACTGCAGGGAAGGGAAACCCTGCGAAATTTACAAGAAAGACGTTCAGAGAATTGGCAAAATTATACGTCGTCGTTCAACAACTTTCAAACATTTGAACAGATGTATAATTAAAACTTGGACAGTATCGTTTGACAATTTCAAACAAAACGACCACATCAAACACTTTGAGTTGTGTGTGTGGCTTTCTAGAAATTAAATTCACTTCACTGGTCGGAGAAAGTAGGAGAACGAATGAATGGTGCATACACAAACCATGTAAAATTTAAACGTGCAAAGTTAGTCTGCGACATATTTAATTAATAACTACAATTTCGAACTAAAGTCGGAAATAATAATAAAATATGTGTCCATCCCTCGAAAAACATCCTCCACAAAGTCCACCACAAAGAACCACTGTCAAATCAAATAGAAGTGAAAGTGCTTTTAAACTTTGATGTTCGCTCGTCGTGGTCTTTTTCCTCTAAAATATTGCCCCCACTCCGAACGCTGTCCTTCTCATCCAGTTTCTGCCCGTCTCTCTTTAAACGAGGCCAACAAACTGACTTTCACTCCTCATCTCCCTTTCATCTCCGTTCCCGTTTAATCTCAGAACGCAGCGAGCGTATTCTCCGAACAAACAAATGTGAGCGATGTGGTGTGTGAATTAACTTTGCAACGCTTGTTTTTGCGTTACTTAAAGTATGAACGTCCAAAATTAATGAGCAGAATCCCTAATGAGAGGAATTTAATGGGTTGAAATGCTTAGATTCGGGAAATGTTTACATTATTTAAACGCCGGAAATATATTTTTCCGTAGAAAAATGAGGCTTTCTCTTTTCCATCGTTTCCGGTACTTTGATTTTTCTATTTCCTTGGAAAGTAGCGTTTACAAGTTAATTCTGCTCAGTCAGTTAATGCTTTCGTTTCGTCGTCTACGGAATTAAAAAAACAGTGAAAGCAGAGAAAGCAGGAAATGGGTGGAACGCAGAGCGAGAAGAAAGTGCTCGTGATTTAACTGGAAATCTGTTCATTTTCTTGTCTGAAGCGAATTTTAGTTTGACGTCTCGTTTTGCTCTGCAGATTGAGAGAGAGAGGAAAATAATGAAATTTATTTTTGCTGAAAGTAAAAGTCGTCAGTTTAATGCAAGAATTTGTCGAGAATTAAGTGCGAGGAGAGAGAAATGGGTGACAAGTTTGCCGAAAGGTGATGGCGTGGTTACATAACAGACATGCGGTTTAATCGAGTTTTTCTTGTACGTGTTTAGCAGGAAAGTTTGTTCTGTGGAAAAAGTTTTGAGGCAGTTTATAATTTTTCGGTGGCTTCGGAAGTGTTAATTTGGGTGAATGGGTAGGTAAATTTGTAGTCATGTGTTCACAAAAGAAATTGCAGACTCAAAGTTTCGTACAAAATCTCGGATTTGTCGTAGATGCAAATGTACTCGTACGTGCAAAAAATGTATTAATAAAGAACTAAAGAGTATGATTAATTATAGTGTGTAGTGCCAAAGGCGAAAATATGTAAGTGTAAAAGTTGAAAATTTGTGGCGAAAATAATCCAGGTTAAAACCCTTCGGGTAGTAATTATTTATCTTACAATTAGCCTGTCCAAATAATTAACTCCCATTGAAAATTACTCATTTATGACATACCTTAAATCAATCGCTTTCACTAAAATCATAAATTGGGCATACATAACTTTCGAAGATGTAATAAAGCAAAGTCTACTAATTTAAAAAAAGCAATGAAATCTAATTTTCGACTCACCGTAACGTTTCCAATTTGTGTGGCAGCCTTCCCACTTTAGAAATATTGGCGGATGGTTGAAGCAGTGCGAAAAAGTCTGAGAATTCAATCAGAATTTCGTAGTGGACCTGAAAACATGACAATTAAATGCAAACTTTAATCCGAGGTTGCAGCAGCGTCATTGTCATAATCGAGACCATTATTCTGAGTCACAGTGGAAATTCCATCACTTTTCATGAGATAATAATCCCCCGTTCTCCGTCCTCCCCGTCCTCGTTAAGGAAACCTATTCTCCCGTGAATACGAATATCGCAGATCATACTGAATTGGATTTAGAACCAATTAAGCTCCCACCGTCATCATTGTGATCGCGTCGTCGTGGGTGAGTCACGGATCATATCTCGCACACCAGAAAAGAGGAATATTTCCATAGCGATACTTTCATGGGAATCTTACCAGATGACGTGCTTATTATTATTATTTCAGGGGGAGGGAAGGGGAGAAATTGAATTTTGATATAAAAATACAGCGCATATGTAGGGAGCTGGATCATCTGCCATGCAAGTCACGTGGGACCCGTCTCAAGTGCAATCGAGTGGATATTTCAAAGAAAATTTAAAACTTATTAAATAACTTTCTCACCGGTTTCTTAGTCGTCGCTTGCCATTTGAAGTCCAAATATTGAATGTGATACGGCACCGTCATTACGTAACCGAGTGCGTAGTCGTTCACGACACCGTCTCGAACGAGGTAAACTTGAGACAACGTCCCTGTAAATTTAAATAATTTTAATTGGCCTCTTTGTGTTAAACCTGCACTTTATATACTATATTGACTAACTATGCTTCTTAATATTTTAGTAATGCTCCAGCAATTGTGCTAAAATTACTGTCACTTTTAACACAAATAAGACCATAAATCTCACCCCGGAAACCAACCACACTTATTTATTTCGCACTTTTAATCACAAAATGAGATACCCTGCGAAGAACCCCTACGGTGAATTAATTGCCTCCTTAACAACAGCCACCCAGACCGAAAACAGTGACAAAGACGTTTCCTTCTTCTCTTTATGAGCCCATTTCGCCGTCATTTCGCATTGTGCGGTTGGATTATGGCTGTCGCGGCTCAGTTGTCGAAACTTCTGTCTCCGTTTTTGGACTCTGTTTATTATTAATTATGTGGTCGTTTTGGTAAAGAAAGTTGATGGCGGTTGTGCTTTTGTCTGGTTGGACAGAAATAACAAATGTTCGGAAAGTGAAAGTTGTCAAGCGACATTTTCTAATCCGTGGGATTTTGTGACTTGAATTAATTACTTTGTTCTTTTTGTCTGGATAGAATTTTTGCAATTTATTAGTTTGGATTGAGGAAAATTTAGTAAAACATTGAGATTTTGTGCGTAAATACGTAAACTTTGGGCGTGACCTTAGTGAAAGTCATAAATCAGAACTAGATCTTTCGCTGACAAATGAAAACCTGTTTCATGTTTAATGGTTGTAGTAAAGTTTCAGCAGTAAAAAAAACAGGAAATTAAAAGAGGAGATTTATAGCGGACGACAAATTTGGGACAAATTGAATGCGTGAACATATATTTTTTGGATTTTTTTAGACGTTTGCACAAAATTCCGAAATTTAAACCAAAACTAACATGACTGATTTTTTATGTCATGCTGACTTCCGTTTCTGCTGACTCTTGAAATCTCTGTTGCACAAAATCTAGTAAATTCTCATGTGACAATTTCCTGACCAGAGCACGGCCATTTCCATAGCAACGTAACATAAACTTTCTCTCCACGCACCGAAGTGTCACTGCACTGACCATCGACTTCCTCCAGACGCACAGCAAGAGCGACAACATTATTACGTCCACAAAAAATCCACCCATCGCATCATCCCAAAGTTCCCCAGAAATCCAGCCTACACACTTTCCCCAAGAAAAAACTAAATGACACGTGACAAATTGCTATGCACTCTGCGCGCTCTCCACTCAATCTCATTATGATAAAGGAAATGCCAACATACTCAAAATAACATCTTCGTCCCCGTCGCTCTGACATTTCCACAGAAAATTCCGCCAGTGACATTTTGCAAATTCAACATGACTCATGGGCCTCCATTATTATATGCTTCTTGTTGTTGGATTTTTCATGGCGAAAGTTACGTGGAGAAAGTTTAGAAAATTTTGGGATAAATAATATGTAAATTATTGATGGCATTTGTGAATTGGGCGGTGTCAGCTGTCTACACAGAGTTTGACATTTTTAAAATTGTAGGCTTATTTTTTACCCATCAATTTTCAAATCAACGAAGATACGCGATCAATTTTTTGAATAATTTACAAGCAATTTAGCAGGTTTTTTTGGGGTGGTCCTAGAATTTTAGATCATCGAACTATTTGTAGTTACACAACATGAATACGCTAATTTCAGACCAAGCCAGTTTATGAGACAAGCAAAGTACATATCCAGTCGCAGTATGTGGCTTTCTCCTTATTTGCCTTTTCTCAAGGATCACGAAATGTAATGAGACCATTATTCGAATGCATTTTATGAAACGAAAACTCTGTTTGTGGGAGATCACCATTTTTGGCTGAGATGACGATGACATCAACATTCACAATGTCAGGAAACATGGAGAGAAAGTGAAATTGGGCATTGTCCGGATTACGTCCTCACCATTCGCGTCGTACGAGGTGGTGCATGGTGGGTAATGGAAAAGAGTCCGCAGGAGAGAATCCCCAGGAGGCAACACACCACGGAACGTCGTCACGGACAAATTACACGGCATAAAAAGTGGTATCATCATCTCTCGTCATAATGTCAACGCGGAATATAATTTCATTATGTTCCCGTTGCGAATTGGGCTCATTTTTAAAGAGTTTCGAGCAAAGCAATGGGATTCCTCAACTGTTTTCACCTTCCCAAAATTTTAGATTCCAAATTTTTTTTCAAAAAAGGGGCCACAAAAAATGCATTAATCTCCATAGGAAAGGTTCACTCAGAATTTTTAGTTTCCGTTCACTGGTTGACTTTCCCTTCCTCCGGGCCTAGAAAGTCGCGTGATGGAACAGTCACCAACCAACCACGGTGATTAATATGCCGAAAAGTTTCTCAACTTTATCCAAGTTTTCGGTGTGGAGAAAATTTATCACCAGTGAGAATGTGTCATGCGGATTTAAAAAAGTGGAATTTAGATTCAGTGTGGGTTACAAAAAATGCTTGATTTGCGGAGTGGATTTATTCTAAATTAGTAAAATGACAAACTTCAAATTAGTTAATCTCACCTCCCGTGATCCTATGAAATTCTTCTTTGTCCACGAACAAGTTATAGTTCCCGCTAACATGGGCGACCAGTGCTAGTATAATTAGCTTCACAAAAGGTTTCGGAGACATTTAGAACTATGGTTAACCTGAATTTGATTGACTGTGAGGACAGGAGTTCAAATTGCTATTTAATTTGAGACGTATTATAAGTCTTCGGTGCAGGATACTATTTATTTACTTTTATAAAACCCGGATTTAAGATTATGCTTAAAATTTTTATGCACACAAATTTAACAAAAACATCTCCAAACCCTCCTCTCACTCACTGACCAATGAAAACATGTAACTAATTTATGTAAATGATTTGAGACAGATTTTTGTCCAATGTGGCGTTCTGACAATAACGAAGCGTATCGGTGCACCAAAACTATACAACACACTTTTTAATGAAATTTGTATACCAACTTTCCACTGCTAATATTTTTGTTACACTACAAAATAATGCATCCACCGTGAAAGGTAAGAAATAATGTGGGAAAAACAAGGTAAAATAACAATACAAACATTGCTTCCGAAACCGACGACAACAACCTTTCTCCCCAACATTCTTTGTACAACTGAAGAAAGTTGAGACTGAGCGAGGAGTTTTGTTGGTGCAACAGGACTCCGAATTAAATGTTCGCTCTTGGTTTTTGAAAGTGAAATAAGAATACTTTCTACAGGGGTGGGACAGAAGAAGGAGCCACTTGAATTTTAAAGGTGGCGTGTGATGCACAGTCGCGGCATTTTCAAAATTTGCATATGTCATACCCAGATAGTTAACGAAAATTTAGCACTATTCAGATTTTCCCTACGGTTAAAAATGCCCCTGCAGCACCCCCCAGAGTGCGAGGCACGCATAAAAGTGTTTTCCAAAGACATACTGAGCCAGAGAGCGATTGTTAGAAAATTTGCTGCAAATGGATTTATCGTCGATCGAAAGTACGTTTCTAATGTACTTAAAAACGTTGGAATCAAGCGGAGGGAAAAAGCGGTTAGAGCTCCACCCCCACGGAAAGGATACCCAAGATCCGCTTGAACCAAAAAGTTTATCCGGAAAATCAATTTTTCGCCAAAACAGTAAATCCACCAACTAAAAGTTGCATGGCGAAAATGTTAAACGTTAGTAGGAGAACATTTCTAGAGTCATTCACAATGACCTACAGCAAGTGACTCGTAGGAAATCCCGAGATCATGCTCTCATCCCAACTTATTTCTCACAAAATATCAGCCTACACGAAGGATTTTAAAAAAAGTTTGGGTATAACAATTATTCCTACTATAGAAACTCTCGTTAGTTCCTCTGATATCAATCCGATGTTTTTTTTTGGATTCGAGTACTTAAAACAGAGCCTTCTTGAAAGGAAAACGCGTGCGTTTTGATGCACTTTGGAAAAGTGTTCAGGACGAGTGGTGCAGAATCACTCTGAAAATTGTGTCAAAGGTCATGACTGGTTGGAAAAAGCGACTGAGGCTCGTTAGATAAACTAAAGGGCTTCACACTGAACCAATTACCAAACTTCACAAACGAATAATAAGGCCGGAATAAATTTAGGCAAAGTGGCTCCTTCTTCTGTCCCACCCCTCTGTATATATCTTACAGTTTTTGAGTTGATGCCATTTCAAATTTTCAGGATAATTTCAAACTAATTTATGTGTCTAAAGTTTATTACTATGTACATACATTACATTTATGTGTTCCATTCTTATTTTTAACATATAAGGACATCCGAATAATTCTATTAACACTGACCAAAGGATAAATATGACACAAATTTTAGCAATCTGTTAAAATAATTTATGGCAGTTTATGCCCTTGCATACGTATGTACTTTATGAGTATACAATATATGTCCGTCAGCATTATGTACTTAGGTACAAATGTATGTAAGCATATAAATAAAAATACTTAATTCTGATCATTAGTCGCATTAGAATATCCTAACTTACGAATATAAATAAATTTGATATTTTCTGTTCCATTTCATTATTTGAACAAGTGGCCAAAATAAATACAAGGCATATTTATAAAAATATATACGCTACGGAAGAATGTAAACCACCAAAGGAAACCTATAATTCTTATACTTGAAGGATTATTATTACATATGTACACACATACATGCTTAATTCATTGTGAAATGGTTGATTATAATCATACATTTGACAGTTTCATATGGAAAAGCTTTTCTGATTCGATCCTAATGCAATCATTATACATGTATCTACATTATAAGCTGGAAATGTCTGTTGGCAACGGAAGTGAAAGTAAATGTTCTGTAACGGAAGTGAAAGGAAAGAAAGTCAAGTTTCAAATGGCGCGAAAATTCAAAATAAATTAAGTTCAAAACAATAAATGTCAGAACGTATGGTACTCTTTGTGGGCTTATTTATGTGGGGGTGGTAATTATCTGGGGGTGGTGGGTATTTGGGGATGGTAGTTGTCTGGTGGTGGATGGTTATCTAGGGATGGTGGTTATCTGAGGGGGGTGGTTATCTAGGGATGGTGGTTATCTGAGGGTGGGTGGTTATCTAGGGATGGTGGTTATCTGAGGGGGGTGGTTATCTAGGGATGGTGGTTATCTGAGGGGGTGGTTATCTAGGGATGGTGGTTATCTGAGGGTGGGTGGTTATCTAGGGGTGGGTGTTGTCTGGGGGTGGCTGGTTATCAGAGGGTGGGCGGTTATCTGGGGGTGGGTCGTCATCTGGAGGTGGGTGGTTATCTGGGGGTGGGTGGTTATCTGGGGGTGGGTGGTTGTCTGGGAGTGGGTCGTTATCTGGGGGTGGGTGGTTATCTAGGGAAGGTGGTTATCTAGGGATGGTGGTTATCTGAGGGTGGATGGTTATCAGAGGGTGGGTGGTTATCTGTGGTAGGTTATTTGATGGTGTTAGGGCCAACGTGTCAAATTCCACTATCATTGGTGGTACAACACTTCAGGTGGCCAGGCGGGCCGAGCCACCGGGATCAAATCCCATAACGTCTGAGCATTGTGGTCTCGGTGGGCGAGTCGCCCTCAGCCGCGACGAGCCACGGGACTAAACCCCATTACGGATGAGCATTGGTGGTCTTGGTGGGCGGGTCGCCCTCAGCCGCGACGAGCCACGGGACGAAACCGCATGACGTCTGAGCATTGGTGGTACAAGATTTCAGGTGGCCAGGCATAATAATATGTATTACTGGTATAATCTTATAAGGCTCATTGCCAATAGAGTTAGTACAATTTTTCTATTGTCATGTGTTGGCTGGAATCAATTAAATTTTGTATTAAATTTGTAAAGTCTGAAATTGTTCGCCATGAATTTGTACTCTTCTCAATAAATACAGTTAAGGCTACAATATGGTGTTTTGATTAGAGGTAAATAATTATCCTTGGGTTATGCGATACGATTATGCATGGTAATGTACATCCGCCACGAAGCTCTATATTAATTAGGGTTGTTATCTTTATTTACTTTCTTTGCCGTTGCCGACAATAATTCACGCTGATAGTGTAGCTTTTATGGCCCGGCGAAGACGGGCTTACTTGCTAGTTATTTATAAACAAATTTCTGACAAACTTTGGAAATAGGATAGTTTTCAAATTTTGTTTTACTGTATAGACTTACTTATATAAATCTACAATTTAAATGTTGACCATGTATTTATAAATATCGATAATATTATATTTATGTATAAACAGACCTCCAACGTTTGATTGTACATATATATTTATGTTCAACCTAAATTTCTACATATTTAATTACAAAAGAAGCTGCGTACCATACATATGTATCGCCTTGCATACAGGATTAATAAATTTGTATGTACATGTACATATGTATGTAAATATGTACGTTCCCAATTATTACGTATTTAATATTCATACACAATGTGCATTACGCATGATGTATTCATTCGCCGCAGTAGAAAGCTAGGAAGTCGAACGAAGATTGTATATCTATAAAATCATCAGAAAAAGCAGAGGCTTAGTAATCTGTCATTGAATCAACAGTTTGGGATGAAAAAACTTCACAAAATATCTTACTTTTTGTTAGGATTACGATTACACTTCATGCAAAACTTGAGAACAATCTAAAAATATTGACAACCAACTGGGAAAACTTATATATGCAAATATTATATATGTAGATTAGATTGATTACACGAAAATGACACTTTGTACATTCTTATTTAAACAAAGTTGTCATAACTATGATCTAATTTATGTATAAATGAAAGTGAAACCGCGACAATGACAATGACTTAACGCCCTGCTGACCATCTCATTAATTTAATTACCTAACATCACATGGGTGGCAGTGATAACCAAGTTTTTTTTCAACGAGGAGGAACTCATTACGTATGTTCATGACACACCAAATTTTCTTTATAAAGTCTGGATTTTTTATTTTACAGAGTTCAGTAGCATTCATTCACCTCCCTCTCACACTCTTCAAACTACTGTCACGATGCAGCAGAATTCGTTAGTTTACTGTTTCTTAATTGTGCTAACTTTGCTGCCGGAGCAGGGCGTAAAGTTTGTCTGGAGTGCGGGCGTTGATACAACTGCAGACGTTATTGAAATTGAAGGGGCTGAATCAGGAGTGATTCACGGGAAAGGATATGGATACGGATATGGAAGAAAACGCTACGTAAGAATAACTTTAAATATAATACTTATCAAATTGTGTCAAATTTTAATTTTTGTTTATCTTCCAGGCTCACCCAAAATTTCATTACAATTACGGAGTGAACAATAAGTTAACGGGAGATTTTAAGACAGCGTATGAAGAGAGAGACGGTCCCATCACGAAGGGTTCGTATTCAGTTTTACAGTCCGATGGAGTTCTCCGAACTGTGAATTATGTGAGCTATTTAAACAAATAAATAGTTCTTTAAAAGGGTTTATCATTTTGGTAAAAATATCGAATTTATGTTCTGATTGTTTAAGATCGTCGATCCAGTTGGAGGTTTCCAGGCGAAGGTGATTAACAAAGGGTTATCTGCACATCACGGTGGAGTGGCGTATGTGAATAATCCTGGTGGGGTTGGAGTTGGTTATCTTGTTCCGGGTTACCATGGTTACGGCAAAGGGGAAGGTTTACATGGTGGTGTTGGATATCATAATCATCTTTATGGTTAAGAACGCAATATTTGCAATTGTTGCATAAAAGGACGAATTCTACTTACGTTGAATTTGGTGGCCATATGAGAGTTTCAAGAACAAGCTTATAAATATTACGACTTAAATAACAAATGATAATTAACATATACATAAGTATCCATACAATACATATATATGATATATATGCATGTGCCTTTTCTCTTTAAAGTGTACACACTTACACATAATAATTTTCAGATAGAAGGCTAACTGTTTGTACGTCAATCCTGATTGAAAGTTGGTTGTTATTTTTGTAAATCCTAATTGGAAATTATAAGCTACATAAATACCTATCGAGAGACTTGTTACATGAAATGAGTATACAAAATTTTAACCTAAACCAAGTTGTAAAAATCGCAAATTTGTTAAATTTTGTAAATATATATTTTTTTTTACTTATTTGTAATGTTTCACTTTACCTATTCAATCATTAAGAAAAATGCTTACCGTACTGGACGGGCAAGAATGTTCAGAAATTATGTAATATGAACGCTCATAAAACTTCATGGCTACGATTACATGATGGGGCATTATACAATTTCTGAATTTTGCCTAATCAGGGAGTTGACCTTTTCATAAAGTAAATTTCCGTATCACGGTGTCACGGCGTGCCTGGCTAATTTATGTAGCCCATTATACACCATACATCGTTAATTAAGTAGACTAGCTTTTACAATATTTAACGAGTTTTATCAATCCGAATTTAATTTTGCAAAGTATTCCATTTATGTATGTCGATTTAGCCAGAATATCGCTTTCAATATTCCCAATCATATACCTACTAACCTTCGTATACTCTAGCGTCTTACATATTTTCAAGCTGATTACCATTTAATTAACATATCATAAGCCAATTTCATGCTATGGCATCATATCTCGTATACTTATTTTCACTGCCAACCTTAGAATAAAGTTGGCGATATTTATCAATGTACATAGCTCGTTGGCATAATTGAAAAGATCCCAATCTAAGATATTAAGGTTTGCTTTATGTTGAACAATTTTCCCTTAAATTTCTGACCAAATTATGCCTTAGTTACTTATGCAATAACTAAATATATAACAGACAGTCTGTTACCGACTACGATATGAAAAGAGCTACAGTATCAGACATGCATCATCTTGCATACTGTTGGCACTAGCGTTTTCTCATCCGGATGTCTCAGTCTGAAATTTTCTTCAGTCGAATAGATCTCTGTTTGCAAAAAAAATGTTCTGCCAATTCCTCTCCAGTTTGCAGTTTGATTTAAAAGTTTGCAACTTATTGCAATGCATACCATTTGAATTTCAACCCAATGCACGGAGACTAATAATTTCTCGCAGTTCAAGTCAAATTCAGATGTTTAAACTGCAATGCATCCTCTCCATTCTTTACGTGTCAGAAATGTTTCTTAACCTTTTCTTCGGATCATGGACGGTGATGGAAAGATTGGAAGGCTCAATCTTTTTCTTGGTCTGCCTATTCGGGACAATATCGAGATGGAACTATTCTGTGGACATTGCTCCAATCCAGTCCATAAATGGCTTCATTTTCCTTGAGGACTACACGTTACATGGTAAAGCACGCTTCAAATTTCTACGCTAAAGTATTATTTGAGATACTGATGTGATTAAATATTTCATCTTTGAATTGTTGTTAGTTTAAATAAAATTATTAATAAATTGATGATTTTTATTTATTCAGACTTTGCAAAATTTCCCACTCCTGTTGGAAAATCGGTTAAAATAGCCATTCGAATTGTACAATGTTGTATTCCACTCGTCGCCTTGGGTAGATTCATATGGTTAATATTGTTCTCGTGTTCACAACCACTGATTCTTATCTCAATGATTTCGGACGTGTACATAACTCAGGATTTGAACATTGTGGCAAAGTATTGCGTTACAAGCATGATCGGATTTTTCGACGCATGGATGTGTCTTCATTTGATGTACTCTTCTTCATTGTGGATCATCTACATCTTCTTTGCTGGGATACTGAGTTTCGAGAATTATTTTAAAATTCTACAATGGTGAGTATTCAGTTCGCTGAATGAAATTACAAATTACATGTGCTTTTATATCTAATTACAGTGAAATAAGCAAAATTCGAAGCGGAAGAAGGATGAGGAAATGCGTCCGGTTTTATAGATCCTTGAAGATCCTTGAGATATCATTCAACGCTTACGTGGCGAATCAATTCCTCCCGGCGGTCCTGCTTTGTTGCCCGGCTCTGCAACTGATTGGACTTTTGGGTTGGATAAGCAAGGATCGATATGAAATCGAGATGCTGACATGTCTCGCCTATTCCGGAATAGGAGTTGCTTCATTTGCATGTACCGGTTTTATCTTCAGCTTGGCTTCATATCTGTATAATGGATCAGACAATGTCGCAATTGCGCTAAGGAACAGGGCTACCTCGTTAAATGCGAGGGAACGACCTGTGGCAAAAAGAGAACTTCGTGCCTGCTCTGCCATACAAGTGAGACTTGGATGGAGCCATATTGGCAAAAATACAACCCTCATGATTCAAGGGATATGTGTTAATCAAATTATGAACATGAGTTTAATCATGGAAAGTCTTGGAGTATAAATTTCTGTGTGGATTAAATGAAAGTTAAATTGGATTGCATATGTACCTATGTGTGTACTATCACTTATGTATCTTTAATCAAGAAAGATTGAGTAGGTGTATATGCAGATAATTATCGATCATCCATAAAAACATGTTATTCTATTATTGCGGAAAGTACATTTATTACGAAATCTAAATTGATGGGTTAAAGTACCTAATGTGCGGATTCAACACCGCACATTTATAAGTTCAATAACCTGACATTTTAAATTAAAGTTTTACGTACCGAAATTGTTCCATTATGCAATAATTAAATATGGTCACTTTCTCATGTGAAAACATTAAAACAGGAGAATTAATATCTATGTTTAGTTGTCGTGACAATTAATTATCTTGATTCTAGCCAATACATTTTAAAAAGAAACATGTACAATCCGAGATATTAGACTACCGCTCATATGCATGACCAAAAAACGTCAAAAATTCAGCATGCTACACCAGTGACATCATCTAAAAATCATTATAAATTATGATAATAAATTCATAGTTACATAAATGCATACATGTGTACATACATATGTATTCATGTTTTATTGGTAGCCATATTTATGTGGATGTACTTACAATTAGTTTTTCTGTTACCTGCTTTCTCTTTTGCACTTCATGAAAATATCTAAATGCTAAACTTAAAACCAAAATAATGCAGAAGAGAAATTGTACTAATAAGGATTCACGGATTCAAACCTTACTTAAATTCTGATAAACACGTATTTATGGTTAGCACGATGAGTTCACTTCAAACTTGTTTTGTCAGACGGAACATTTTTCTGGGGCTTCCCGAATCTAAATACTTTAATTTATTCATGTACCACACAAATTTGATTTGCTACAAAATACATATGTCCATATGGACACACACTAGTATGTCCATATGGATTAATGGGTTTAGGCCCCCCACTCACCTGTATTACAACGTCTTGAATTTGTAATATATTATACAGAAATGTACTCACTGTAGCACAGGTCTTTTAAATGGTAAACGCAATTTACGATAAGAACACGGCCTGTTTTCTCTGGAAAATACGTGTGGCGTTGGCTTGAACTTGAACTTGCGTGTAAAAATAGTAAACCAAATATGTATTTACGGGTGACTGGGTTTATCCGTTCGTTATACAACTGAGGAAACTCCAGGCGGCATCCGATTATGACTGTTCAGTGAAAACCAAATTAAGTTTCAATCCAGGATAAGATAATCCTGTCAATTAAACGTTGTGAGGCGTAGTTAGCGTATTAAGTAGCCAGCAGCGCGGCTCACAGTAATCTAATCTGGCCTGGAGGGTGGAAAGACCGAGTGCCAATAAATAACGAATAGGTTGACCTACGCTAATTTTATAAGGTTAGGTTAGATAAAACGCATTCAATTAAGTAAACGGATGAGCACACAGAAAGTGCATGCTAGAAAATACCGTAAATGATCCAAAAATGCAGGAACTTCCCAAACGTTGAATTTAATCGAAGTCGCATATCCCGGATTTTTGTTCTTTAGTTCTGACTAGTATATGTGCATATGTATGTATTTATGGCTTAATATGATAAGTAAGAGTAATAATGTGCTAATAAATAAGGACTTGTTTAACTGTGGGGAATTTGCGGATATTATATTGACAATGGCTTAACCAAATAGTACTAATTAATGATTATCTCCTTGTTTATGTAACATTCCAAAGTTGCAAGTCATTCCATTTCCAGACAAATATCAGTTATGAACTGGACTTATTGCAAATATGGTTAAATAAATTTGACAATGAGGCCTTTAGCGTTCTTTTTTGATGAGACGGTAAAATTATTAATTTTCTGTACGTTAAAACCTACATAAATAAATCCCTTTTTATCCCGTACAAAATCATATTGGAAGGACAATCCACTTATCTAAATTTTTGGGAATCACGTATCGTAATCAGGTGAATCGTTAATTTGTTTCATGGTATGGGCATAAATTATTTATTCGTAATTTTAATTGAAATTTTAGGTGTATGTTGGAAGTAATTTGCCGGATCGATCAGAATACTCGGCAATATTAATATTAACTTATTTAAATATCAAAAGGCAATTTTTATTACAAGCGTCAGAGAAACAAGGTTGATGTATTTAGGTTGAACGTAATAAAGACAAATTAAGTGTTCAACTAAATTAGACGGATCATAGTTTCCTCATATTTGTGCGATAAAAGCTTCTCATGTGGATTGCAAGAAAAGATCTAACTGTGGGAACAGGTACCACAAAAATTGGAGTCCAATATACATACGAATCAAGATGAAGAATGAACAGAAATTTTAGAAAACACCGCAATATCCACATCATATACGTAATCTAAGAGATTCGAGTCATAAAAATATTTTGAACCAGTGATGTAATGAAACTAACATGTTTTGAAATTCCAGATGGGAGTCCCGTTACAAAGGCGTGCGTATGTATGCTGAGGATGAACTTAGAATTTTCCTCATCATTTCCTAAAACCTTACCCCTACTAATTTCCTAATTTGAAATCCTAACATGGTGCTTTATAGGCTTGGTGATCGCTTGTCTGCTTTTGATAAAACAAGCGCAAATATGCTAGCAATAGCATTGATCTGTATGCATGTGTAAATCTGTACATATTTATGGTATCATATTATACATGCTCTATGTGTCCAATGTGTCTATTACTAAAAATTGCCAAAATCATCAAATTATCAAGTATGACAAAAAAGTTTTAAAATATAATTTTTTCTGTGATAGCTCCTCCACCTGTACCAACTTGTAGCACCATTTGGAACCCTATGTTGTAAAATTTGGGCTATCGATTCTTCTTAATGTTGTGTCAAATTCCTGACATAATGACCATATATACCATAGTCAATTAGCGATGAAGAAATACATATTGCTATTCATTAGTTACGTATGGTTGCACGATTTATGTACATACTTATAAAAGTTGGGTTAAATAAATAGTTAAAATGTTTTTGATGGCCACATTAGAATTATTATTGACTTTTCCAGTTTTTAATTCTATCGACATAACCTAACTAAGATTGCTAAGTTAGCAATGCTAACATAGGCAAAAGCGTTATCATTAATAGTTTATTTTATAAAAGACTGATTACACGTGCTCAAAAATGATTATTGGAAATATTTAATATATAAACTCTTTTAAAAGTTAGCGCAAATGAATTTTGACACCACTTATTCTATTCTCTAAATGTATAATATTTGCAGATAATAACAAGTCCTTTAATTTTTTGCTTGAGTCTATCCATAAATGGTGGCAAGTCGTATTTTCACTGTGATCATTGAAAATTTCTGTCAATATGGTTCCTGAAAATGAAAGGCAAGCGAACCAATTGCGCCCCATGGGATTTTAAAGTCTTTTTGCGTATCAGTAGTAAAATTACTTGTAAACATTCAACCCTTTATAAGTGCAATTACATTTATATATGAATATACGCATTTATTTGGTCAGTACAAATGTATACCAAGTTTGTGTTCCCTAAAAATGACGCACATGTACTGGGATTGTTAATCTCGTAAGTAGATTGTTTTATTTATATGCAACGTTCAAATGTATTCTCTAAATAACTAAATTAAATTTACTAATATGTTTATGAAATTTCCAGATTTTTATTTCAAATTCGTAAAGCAATCTTATCCATTATATAGGTATACATAAGTTCACAAATGTCAAATCCTTCTCATATAAGAAATGTGCTTATATTTATTAATCCATGCTTAGTAAGCAAGATTGTACTTGGTCACTATTCCAGCCGAAACTTGTGGATCGTAACGAGTAACTCCGACACCAAAGACGTTGGCCGTTGTTCCAATAATTGTTTGAAAGAACTCGGAAAGTCCGGCCATCATGTTGGGAAGGAATCTATAATTAAAATATTAAATCGTGTACTACAACAACTTTACAAAAACAAATCGATTAAAATCTGACCTTGCAATAGGGTCGAAAATTTTCCTGGTAATTCCACTCTCCTCAGCCTGTCGGGTCATGAACAGAATGGAGTCGATCGCACCGTTCACATCGGCGGGGATAACTCGGACCTCGTTGCGTCGAATTAATTTCAAAACCTCAACAAACTGGTTGGGCAGGTCGAGAAGGAGGAGGCGCGGCATGTACGCGACGACTGAGGCGAGGTCGAAGGTATTGGTGACCACGGCGCGCGTCAGTGTAGCTAAATATTTATTGAGTTGATTAGAAACGTGCAATTTGATAAGATTTTGCTATATGTACTAACCAAGTGCGATGGTGACATTCGTTCCGGCCTCTTGCGTCGTGTTGGCGAGTCCGTTGAGAACGGTGACAAAATTGGTTTGAAACCGATCCGTTGCGCCTTGGACAGCATTGGTCAATTGTTGTCGCCAGACGGACTCGGCCAATGGGGGCTGAGCAGGATTCGTCTGGGTCTGTCTCACCTCGGCAGGAACTGGTTTCTAGAATTCAGAAGTAAATGAAAATGTCAATCGTCTTAGAAAAATTACTAATTTATTTTATGTTGTCTCACTTGTTCAACGCTCAAACCCAACGCGACATTCGCAATTACTAGCAAAAGACAAATGCATCTCGTCATGGCGAAAAGTAATTTGTGGATAAAATTGTACTGTTTGGTATGTATTGATGAATGATGTAGAGGTAGTTGAATTAATGACATGTCTCGTACCTCATCCCCTTTTTATATTCCGACTGAAAGTCATCATTATAATGCAAGTGGGGCAGAAATAAATACGATTCTGCCTGCTTTTATTGTTTGGTCCAGACTTCCATGAAAGTGATGAATTAAATGTATATTAATAAGTACATAGTCGTCCCATTACAAAAACTAGTGTGAAACTGATGAAATAATTAAACGTGTGTAATCGATTACAATGATTCATGTGTCGTTTATTTTCTTGTTGAGTATTTAGGAGAGACGAACATGACAGATTCTGTAAAAAACTGGGGTATTAAGTAATTTAGCTAATTTACATTTGTAAAATCATAATGAAGGGATTGGGGATAAATCAGAGTTTGTAAAGGGTTAACAAACATTGTGACATAGTTCTCAATTTTAATTTTAATTCATTACACACACTTTATACAGTTTCTGAATTTGTGAAGTAGGTATTTAGGTGACTGAAAGTGATTTGGAAAGTAATGAATAAACATTTCATAAAGCAGACACTCGGTTCATGCAAGGAAACTAAATTTCATATCGCACATACATAAATTTCTTTCAATTACGTAGGCTATGATTTACTGGAATTACTATAATTATAAATTCAAAAGTAGAAGAAAGTGACTTCTGGACTTTGGAAAATGATATCAGATAGGGATTAGATTTTGCATTACTTTGCTGTGCTGTTTCTAACTAAAAATCTGACATACCACTTTTAGCTATATTTTGCAGGCTCTTTGTTACATGCTATTTCTTTAAAGAGTTATTTTGGGAGTCTAAGTTTGGAGCAACTATGTATATGCATATGCAAGGTTCCTAATAGGCGTAAGCTTTTGTATAATCTCGAAAAATATCTATAGTCAGATTAAATAATCGGTAATCCTTAACCCACTTCTTTCATTTGTTCAAGCAATCTGTAATTCAATATCAAATATATTCAAGTAAGCTAGGACGTAATTCAGTTCAAATTAGCGTGTTTATGTGTACAATTTATGCACTTATTTAGATTTCAGCCATATTTATGTACACATTAATATTTAGGGTAAATTGGAATTTATTGGGTGATGGATTTATCTGGATCCTTTGATAAAACATAAGTAAGAAATACATCTTGCTGCATACCGGTTTCTTAAAAATTGCCTTGTTTGAAGTACATAAGTAATTTCCACGTGAAATCAGTGAATCTCATGAAATTATTCTCCATGAATATTCATTTTGCATACCTTGCTGCCTTTGTTGTTTGTTACTGCGTTCTGTTTGACACGTGATACTACTTTAGCGGTTGTTCTCTGTCCACCTACTCTGAGAATGTTTTCAAGTAAAAAATATAATATGAAATAAATAAAATACTTATTTTCATTCCAATTTGCAAATACGCCAGGCTTTTGTTTCATCGACTAATTGAATGCATAATATTTTGTGAATTGCGATACTCTGAAAGCTGACAAGGTGTGTGGTATAAGTATTAATATTTTTATCTTGTCGTTGTTTATAAAAATTAGCTCTTTTCGACTTTTTACTTATTTTATTTTATTTTAATAATTTGATTTTGTCTTCAGATGCCTCGTGCTCTTCCTGTTTGTGACGATCCTTTTAATGTACACAAGAAACGAGTTAATAAAACCGTTAAACCTATTGGTCCAAGTCTACTTATTTTCAGCCGTGAACATTTTCCTGGTCACAATTGGACTGCACAAACTTTGCTTTGTATTGGTTGTCGGATGAAATTTTACGATGCAAGAAAATTAGCAGCAGTGGCAGAAGCGCAATCTCAATTACTAGAAGAACCGAACGACGAGGATGATAACTTTTCGGGACATGATGACGACGATGGACCTCTTTCTCCTCCTGCAGATATGTCGCCTCATCCTTCGAACAGCCAACGGTAAGAATATTAGTTTAGTCTGTTAATTATTAATGTTGAAATTACAATGTGACGTTGTTTATTTTAGAGAACAACGACAAGGCAAAACTATATCTTCTGAAGCACACAACAATCCGTTCGTCGTCTTGGACCGTGACCCCGTCGTTGAATCGTTCATAACTTCTAGGCCCCTCGTGGATGGAAATAAAGTGAACAAAGTATGTTTTGGTTGTGGAATGTCTCCGTCGAAGGGTGGGCCACGTACACGCCCAAATTTGGAGCAAAAGACCAACCTGTACAAAAGCATCATTATCAACCCATCTTTTCGAGCTAAAATGTCGCCATCCATGTACAATAATTTTGCGCACAATGACCAAAGTTGTGGTGATTGCTGGAAAATGATTCACGAGGTTTGGACTTTACACCAAGAGATCGTCGCTACCCAGAAGGGGTTGGACAGATTAGTTGAGAAGGGAAGAGAATGTGTGATGAAATCTAAATCACGGGCGAAAGTGAAGTCTGCGGGTAGATTCATACAATTTTACATATAATATTAATGCATATTTACGTGTGTTAACAGTTACTATTACGTTTATAGAAACCTTACACGCGTCTCAAACCCCTAAAAGACATCATAATTCTCCACCAGACCTTCTATTCTACCCAAAAATTGACCATGACGCAGTTGTTCATATCAAGGAGGAAGCCAGTGACCACGGTGAAGATTTTGATGTCGATGATTTCGCTCTAATTCCTGAGATAGACCGCTCGGAAGATCGGTTCTATGATGGAGACGACAGAGATGAGAACAGCGAGGAGAAGGCTGTTGACCAAAAGAATCCTTTTTCTGCCCAACTTTACCGAACAGCAGGATCCGACAATTCTCTACCATCTCAACGTAGGAGCTGCAGAAAGGTCCAGGAGGAAAAGACGGACCCCATAGATGAGTTAGAAGAGCAAACAAACAATTGATAGATACATATATCTAGATTTTAAATGTAATACTTGACATCGTTTTAATTTATTGTTGCACAGTTTGGATTCTGAATCGAGCGACGAGAACTCAACCTCTGATTCCGATTCTGACTACGAGCTGGACCTGTTTAATAAACGAGAAAACAGTGAATGTACTGTTTGTGGAAGAGAATTTAGGAAGTTCAAGCAATTGATCCGCCATGAAGTTCTAGTTTGTAAAGTTGCTTACGACAAAAGGGAATTGGATCGAGTCAACATCATATTCTATCCGTGTAAATTGTGTGAAAAGCAATTTTCTTCTAGCTCTCAATTACAAAGGTTTGTAATTTACATAAATTTCCTTTTCCTTAATCGAAAGTAAAATGTAAAATTGTATATTTCCAGACACGTAAGGAGCCACACAGGTGAAAAGCCGCCCTCATGTCCCAAATGCGGCAAATCTCACAAAAATTTTAATTACACAAATGAGATGTTATGTAAAAAGTGCGAGAATAATTCCGAGGAGGATGTCAAACTTCCGACCCCTAAAACATATCAATGCTCTCACTGTGGGAAACAATTAGCACAACATATCAATCTTATCTCTCATGAAATACGAATTTGCAAACTTCCCTACGATGAGGATGCATTGAGACGGAAAGGGATCAGAATACGGAGATGTGACCATGCTCTATGTGGCGAGGTATTCGTTACATCGAGACAATTTAAAAGGTGCAAAAAGTCATATAAATATTGAACTTATTCAATTATTTGTTTCAACTGATTGTTCTAATTATTTCTCTTAGGCACATGCTCATCCACACCGGCGGAACGATACCTTTAGCCAGAAAACACGAATGCAACCAATGTGGAAAATTATTTATTAGATCCCAGGGTTTAAACCTTCATAAGAAAATGCACTGTCCCGCAGGCACGATTGATATTGAATTCAAAGCAAATTTTTTGGAAAAATTACGTCAGCGGCGCCGCCAACAATCAGTTAGATTTAACTTCCAGTGCCCCAATAAATGTGGGAGGAGGTTCACCTCGAAAACGAAGTTAGTCAAACATTTGGTGACTGCCCACCCCCCAGTCACAGAGGCGGAAAAGTTTATAATGTGTGAAATATGTGGAAAATCTATATCATCGAAACCACACAATTTACGAAACCACATACTTCGAGTTCATGAAGGTGTCATTCGCCACAATTGCCCCCACTGCGGAAAAGGGTTCTTTGGCAAATATCCGTTGAGAGTCCATATTTTTCGGATGCATGAAAAGGAACGAAAAATTCGAACCAATCGTCAGAAAAGCATTCACTGTGATGAGTGTCCAAAAACGTTCCTTTTTGAGACTACACTTACCCATCACAAGAGGAGAGATCATCTAGGGATCAAGAACTTTGAATGTGAAATCTGTCCCTACAAGTGTTACACGGGATCCGATTTTAAAAAACATGTCAAGACTCATGAAGAAAAGGAGGCGCCTCGTTGTGAGAAGTGTGGACAAGTGTTTGGGACTCAGGGAGCACTCACAAATCATCGTAGGCGATTGCAAATTGACTGTCAGGAGTTGCAGGGGCACAAGATCGGGGAGGTCCTAATAATGAACAAGGGAGAAACTGGCGCAGAAGAGTCGGGATTGCAAAAACTCGACTGATTGTAACTTGTTGAAAATGATATCGCTGTGGGGCTGAAGTTCTGAAAAGGCTGTTGACTGACAATTTATATTTTTATAATTAAGTGAAACTTAAGATTTCGGACAATAAATTTCTTTGTTGAATTTGTGTTGTAAAATGCAATTATTATCAACGGAAAGTACACATTGTTCAGCTATTAATTTTTTTTCAAGTGCCAAGTTTTTATAAAAATAAAGTTCCAAAATTTGACAGTTGATCCTTCAGATCGACTACGATTATCTTCTTGCTAAATTACTTATTATTTTTCAACTTTCAAACAATTTTTCTGGCTCTGTACGTTCAGTTTCATATTGTTACTTTGCCCGTCAAACCAAAATTGCGAATTAAATTGGTATACTAAATTTGTAGACAGTGAACCACCTAAAATTAGTTTAAAGACCCAACATTTGAAATGAGTAATAAAATAAAACGCATAACTTGTTTGGCATGAATTATTTATATGTGCATACAAGTTTTCATACAACACCAACCACCATTTATGTATACTGCATCTGTTTGCTCATCAACCAGATAAGATACAACTTTCTTTATTGCCATTGATTTAACATTATTGTTGCATTTATTGCTACCTTGTCCACACTCTAAAGAAGTTCACCACAAAATTATTACGACAATTAAATATTAAGCATCTCTACCATATGGGTAATGACTTGTCACCGCAGACCGGAAGTATCGTAATTAATTATTTGCCGAAAGATATTATCCCGTTCGAACCCAAATTTTGATGTAGCAAGATACGTGTGTATTGTAGTTTCAGTTTACTTCACAATCTGTGCGCTGGTTTTGATTTTGTTATCAAGTTATTTAGAGTGTAGTTGGGAGTCTACTACAAGAATTATATCAATTTTTACTGTCGTTCTTAATTTATTTATGAATTTCTTGATTTTATCAGTGGCTCAATGGTTTAGGGGTATAATTCCCGCTTTGGGTGCGGGAGGTCCCGGGTTCGAATCCCGGTTGAGCCCAATATTTTGCCAAAATTTTCGAAAAATTGCTAATATTTTGCTAGGCTTTATGTCGGACAGAAAGGAGCGAAAACTGCTCGTAATTTGCTGCTTTTGTGTGACTTTTTGTATGTTACACCTCAATCTGCTTATATAACGTACTATAAGGTATCTAGAAAGTAGCATTAACGCAATTACGATAAGCGCAGGTAACCGCGTTAAAAATGAATCCAGATTCATGGATAAACGCTAGCGTGGTACATTTTGTAGACAAAGAACATCGACACGAATTGAGACAGCGCCTTGTGCGTAGTACAATCTCCGAGTCTCGATTCCACAGCAGGTTGTCCCGACTTCTCGTCACCGTGCGCGATGGTCCTCGTTCTCGCAAAACAAGCCAATCCTAAAGCATGGAAGAAGATAGGCTACCTTTACATTTACACGTACCAATTAGGGTGTGATTTTTAATGTTAAGACCACTATGATATTTCTAAGCAGCTCAGTTCGTGGTTATTCAAATCGAATGATATTTTGCATAGTGATGAGTGATATAACTACCAGTTTTAGTGCGAAGTTTGGGCTGAATAAGTTTGGAATTACCGGAGATATGGAGGAATTGCTGAAAACTAGGTGAGCCAAAATGATAAGACCACCTTCGAATTTTAATTCTCACTCGTTTCTCCTTTGGTTCAGACGGTAAAACTAAACTAATTCCACGATAGGAAGATGAAATCATTCAGGTACTGTAACTTGACGTCCAGCAAAACACCGGAACAGAGATTTCAAGGGGTTCTTCCCAATCAAAAACGGCAATTCATGATTATATCAAACAAAGCGCAAATTACTGGACCAGAAAAATTGGCAATTGGCATGTGTGCAAAAGTCACACTGGACCTGACAAAAGGTAAATTGTGAAGTTTTCTCGACTTTAATAGCCATTAACCCGAGAAATAGTGCAAATTTCAAATGAAAAAATTTCCGTTAGCACATTTAGGCGCGTTTTATGGAACTTTCCTTGCCTTAAGTGGTACAAATAGGTCGGTCAGTCACCACCAGCGAATATGCATAAGCGGGCGAGACCTGAATTTGCTCGATAACAAATTTCCTGGGACACAGGGGGACGTAAGGTCATTTGCACTTGTAAATAGAAATGAAATTTTGCCGGACCTGCCGGGTACAAGTTTTACTGGCACGATCTGCGATAAGAACCTCCATATTTCAAGCATCGACAGATGGAAAAGTGTTAAAAAAACTTAATACCAAATTTTAAACCGTTAGTCACACGTCTATGCTACTCTGCATTCTTATAATAATGCGCAAAATTAAAGTAGCTGATTAGCGAAGGTTTATTATGTATTGTAGCAATCCCTATGCAACTGTCTGTCCAAAGAAGTATGTTATCGAGCAAATTCAGGTCTCGCCAGCTTATGCATATTCGCTGGTGGTGGCTGACCGACCTATTTGTACCACTTAAGGCAAGGAAAGTTCCATAAAACGCGCCTAAATGTGCTAATGGAAATTTTTTCATTTGAAATTTGCACTATTTCTCGGGTTAATGGCTATTCAGGTCGAGAAAACTTCACAATTTACCTTTTGTCAGGTCCAGTGTGACTTTTGCACACATACCAATTTTTCTGGTCCAGTAATTTGCGCTTTGTTTGATATAATCATGAATTGCCGTTTTTGATTGGGAAGAACCCCTTGAAATCTCTGTTCCGGTGTTTTGCTGGACGTCAAGTTACAGTACCTGAATGATTTCACCTTCCTATCGTGGAATTAGTTTAGTTTTACCGTCTGAACCAAAGGAGAAACGAGTGAGAATTAAAATTCGAAGGTGGTCTTATCATTTTGGCTCACTTAGTTTTCAGCAATTCCTCCATATCTCCGGTAATTCCAAACTTATTCAGCCCAAACTTCGCACCAAAACTGGTAGTGATATCACTCATCACTATGCATAATATCACTCGATTTGAGTAACCACGAACTGAGCTGCTTAGAAATATTCTAGTGGTCTTAACATTAAAAATCACACCCTATTACCAGAACCATGAGATTCTTTGAAATTTTTACCACATACGCAGATTATGATGTACTATCATCACATAATAAAATAAATAAATTTAAAAGAATAGCGCATAGTTAATTTTCAAATTTAAAATTGTTATAACTTACTCCCCATGTAAAACTTGCTCTCGTGTTTACCTGCTAGAATTTGTATTTCATTAGTTTTCATTAAAAACTCAGTAGATTTGATTTAAGGATTACTTTGTTTTATAACATATCCAAATCCGTAAGAGTTTGCATATGCCAATTCCTTTATTTTTGCTTCCAAAAATGTAGCACTGTTCATCATTTACGTATTGTAAGCGTATGAATGTGAGAGATGTAGGGGGACAAAATAACGCTGTATTGTTCAACGAGCGATATGAAACCGAAGTTTGAGACGGAAGAAAATTGTCCAGTCCCAACTCCGAGCTTTTCGCCTGATCTATGGCTGTATTTCGGTGGTATTTTGGTTGTATTTTGGTGATATTTTAGCGTGAGCACCACGAAAATGATTGCACGGGAAACAGAACGCGAAGAGACGACTGCTCAATACAGAAATTACAGATTCTCCAGTCGATGTGCTTGATTCGGTTTGTTTAACGTAGTATTACCATTACGTTAGCTTTGTTACACTCCAAATTTTATCAATCATTAGAAACTGACCTCCCACCACGCAATGCCAATGCAGCAAATTAATTCAACTTGGGCGAAAACTGGGTAACAGCAAATGCTTATGATAAAATAACGATGGAAATCCAAAAACTTACGAAATAAATACACTAGCGAAATGGATATGCATTTTGTGCATCATGTGGACATGTAAATATGTACATAAGTCTAAGTTCGCATGTATGCAATTTGCTGTTCATACGAGACCAGAGTAATTATGATAAAAGTTTATGCCTTTAATGCTTTCATTTTTTGGACAAATACAAAGGACAAGTGGTGAAACTAACTTCCATGAAATGAAACGCAGATGCAAGTAAACTTCCGAATATTTGTAGAATAATTGATACACAATTTATTTCAAAAACGGCAATTTGCCTTTAATGTGCTACCGCCGCTGGCCTGGCTATCTCTATTAATGAGTAGTCTGGTCAGCCCATATAGTACATACAATATATTTCAAAAAACAAATGGAAGCTTTAAATAAAAATATTAGGATCATAATAGGTATAAATCAGTCGAAAGTTTGGTAAAATAATTGATCGAAAAATGTATACAGATTTTGCACTATATTGAATCGTAAAATAATAATCAATTCATTAAAGTCGGTAGTACCGACTCGGTACACGATATTATTTCAATTCGCCACATGTGTAAAAATTACTGACTAAAATAACATTCCGAAAACCGAATCAACATTCCAATTTTTAAATTCACATTTACGAATCTGTGGAAGTTTTCGACAAAATTTCCTATCCGCAATTTTAAACGTGGACAACTTGTCAAATAGCTCGTCATCAAAGTCAACCATTTCATCGCTGTTCGAATAAAGACCCAAATCGGCCAAATCTGGACTCCCAGCACCATCTCGATCCTTGCTGGATTTCCGCACAAGGAATTGAGATCCTTCGTCGGTACTGGTTTCGCTAAGGCCAGAATCAGTGCTAGAAGAATTCCTCTCCCTCTCAGCCGCCAGTGACCCTCGGAACCAGAAATTACCGTCTTCGTCCTGAACGCAGGCTTTCTTCTGGTGTTCCACGTACCGGGACATAATTCGGTTCACATTCTTGTGCCCGATGTTGGGATGAATGCAGACGAAGGGAGCCGTTTGCGTGTATCGGTTTTGTGGACGGCCGGGGAGACGGACGATCCGTTCAGAATTTCTGAGATACGAGGGCAAGAATCGATTTCTATACGGTCTGCCACGACCTACAAAAATAATTGACTTATTTAAATACTGACATTATGAGTATGCAAAATACAATATCCAAATTTAAATATTAATTTAAGTATGCGAAAATTATGGCTCACTGTTTACGAGAAAACTTTTACTGCTGCAACAATAATACTTCTCAATGATGGACATGATGAATCTGTAACCTGACTAAAATTGAAATATATTTTATATTTTTAATAAGTAATTTGATAGCTTTAATATAAATTTGATTGGACTTACTTTGTCGTATTTGTTTCATCCACAATTTAAAAATCTTGAGATGAAAATTTAGGACAAGTGCACCACGGAGAGAGAAGCGTCTTCTGGGACGAAGAGCACCTTGAACCAATGCTTTGCGATGAATGACCCTCATTCTCGAGGTCCATAGTCCACGCTGAAGGAAAAAGACGCCGTCTTATCAGAGTTCCTTCCACTTCTGACTCAAAGCTGAATTGGGCTCAACTTATTTAGTGGTAGGGTTGCCGTTTTTATCCGAGATTATCCTATCCGATCGGATAGGATCGGATAATGTCGGATAGGATGAGCAAAAATACGATTCGGATATCCGTCGGATAGGATAATTTTTTCAAATTATCCGACTCGGATTATCCGACGTTGTCCGTCGGATATCCGACGGATATCGGATAATTTTGAAATGACGAGTTACGTGTAATTTGTGCACGTTGTATGTGCGAAAGTAAAGTAAATATTTCATCTCCAATTGTATTTCATTATCAGCCAGGATATATTTAAGTAATTCCAGACAAATCTTAGTAAAGCTAGCAGGTGTAAAATTATTACCATGTCAGACACAAAACGGTTCCATTTGTGGTAATATAAGGTTATTTTCCCATTGCTTAGAGAATCAATCTAGTTCTGTGGGTGCTTTAACGTAATTAAGTTGAATATTGACATTGTGTATTAAATTGAACTGATTACATACTGCGTAGTGCGTATCATACCTATTCAAAATAATAAAGAAAAGTGGAGACTTACGGAAAGACGTTTGTCAAATACATACATACGTATCACTTCTAATTCCTACAACTCCCTTAGTAGTTCAGTCTGCTCAGTTCACTTGACATATTTAATTTTAATAGAGCATATGTATGTAAATTGAATACCCGACAATTGTTGGCATTATTTAAAATTTTTGTGTTTTTTCCTAATTAATTTTATTATCCTATCCTATCCGTCGGATATCCGACGTATATCGGATAGGATAATATTTCTGAAATTATCCGACTCGGATTATCCGAACAGTGGACTTATCCGATTGGATAAAAATTATTTTTATCCTATCCTATCCTATCCGATCGGATGGCAACCCTATTTAGTGGACAGGTGCGGTCCGTGAATATGGCCGAGTATATTTACATATCGGTGCTCGCTTCACTGATGCTAACGTAGCACGTTGAACTGGAGGCAGCAAAAGTCAGCGTCCCTTCTCCCACCTGGAGTTCTCGCAAACTTTTTTCTTTTACTTGATAAGAACGACTCGATAAGTGAGGCGTTCGTTCCTTACTTCAATGGCTTGGTTTGGGCTATTGTCGGTTGTGGTGTCTTGGAACTTGGTTCAGTTGCCTTTGTGACTTCCTGAGCCTAAAGTGGGAAGATTTTCCTCGCCTCCTGCTTCTACATCATCACGATAAAGTTTCTTTAAATTTTTCAAAATATCTTCAAGCGAGAGATTCAGAAATCATTTACAACAAAAGAAGTTGAAGCACGTAAGTAATAATTAACTATAATTTTGTAAGGTGCCAGGTTAGCAATCAAATGTTGTCTAGTTTTGCAGTAATTCTTGCTGCGAGGAATTATGGAACACCAACAAGCCGCGCTGCCTCCCTACGGAGTGACCTTCCTCCCACCTCTGGGGAACGGGACGTTTTTAATGTCCCCAGCCTTCCCGCCTGCGGCTCAGGCATCGGGGTCTTATCTAACCCACACCGAAACTCACGGACAATGGGGACCAATCCAGTACTGGGACCCTTCGATGCCGATTTCAATGTTATACCGAGGAGGAAATGACGCTGGAGGTTTCTTCAACTTACTTCCGTGCACTTTGGCAGATGCCCATCTCACCAACAACTGCTTATCGTTTCCCTGCACGACCTGTTTTCACCCGGGACCAGTGAATGGGGTTTATCCGCCTGCCACAGTATCAGTTCTGCCGCAGGGACCAAGTCTTCCTATCGTGATCGTACCGGCCATGGGATACGCGACAGAACCGTGTCAGGGGGATTGGCCAAATCAAAGTCTTTCTGAAATTGGGAGTGACAGCGTGCCTAACACGAGCAAGAAGATGGAAGACGGTTCAGGCGATGGAGATATGATGGTAAGTTTAATTAACTTTATTAATTTCGTGTACTTTGACAAAACATTATTATCGGTTGATTTTTCACGCTTCTTGCCATTTTCCATGACGTTGCGTAAGTTGAGGCACTTTGAGACAAATTTGAGACGTGGTTAGTAATAATGCTGGTCTCTTTATCCATAAATTAGCAGGACGAGCATAAGTCCGAGACAACCCTTCCTTCATCAAGTAGCCATAAAAAGTCAAAGTCTCGTCGACGCCGTCGTCCTCAGCGTCGTCCTCACAAAGATCATCGTTACCCCAGATCCAACTCTGGCAGCTCTCTCACGTTGCACAATCATTGCAAGTTGTGTCTCAGCAATGGGGAATCGGAGAAATTTTACATGTCACACACGCTCCGGGATTCCGAGGACAAGGTGCGTATATTAAAGATTAATTAAAATTTCCATTTTTGACCAACCCCCAAAACTCTGCGCCCGATTTTAGCCAATCTAATGACTCACCTCGTTCTATTTCTCAGGTCTCCTGTCCAGTCCTACGCAACTTGGTCTGCAGCATTTGTGGGGAAACTGGCGACACGGCCCACACTTTAAAATACTGTCCCTACAATTACGACGTCCCACTGGAATTAAGGTCCGCGAATTTTGACCAGGCACGACGCGACGTAGCAAAATTGATGAAGATGCTGAACTGATGTGCAAAACTTAGCAATTTTATGACTAGAATTGATGAACTTTTGTAAAAAAAACTCGCTTTTTTACACTAGCAGCGATTTGTAAAATAATTTAGACTAAAAATATAAATACAGACAAATAATTGTTGTTGCTTTCTTTGATGGTGGTTTTAGTTAATATTATAGATTATCCAATGAATTTACAAATTACTATTACTCTTAATGCTAATTTTCCATAAATGAATTAACTTTGAAGTATTTTTAAAGATGAAAATTTTTTTTGTGTCGCATATGTATGTAAAAAAAATGGTGCAGTAATCGTATAGGTTAAAGAAAATAATACAGAATAAAATTACCTGAATTGATGAATTAAAAGCAAAAAATCTTAAGTCGATATTGTGTCAAGCCAATTATTTCCCATGATCTCATCCCATTACACCAGTGCCTCTGTAACTGCAGGTGAAAGCATTTTCAAGAAATACTGGCAGTAAAATTACGATGGTTTTTATTGTGCTTATCTTTGCACGAAATAAGATGACTTGAGTGGAGAAGGTTTGTTCTTTTCGGCTCATGGCAATTAATGAACATGAAACGATGGGTTTTATACGATCGAATGTGATTCGTTATTATTTGTTTTCTGGACTGATAAAAAGTCAAATATCCCATTTCCTCTGAGACGATGTGAACTATGTATATCTGATAACTACAGCTTATGGAATGGGCTTTGATAAGTATACATGTAGGTAGTCATCAGGACTTTCTAATTAATTAGTCAATCTAATTAATTATCTAGTTAAATATTTAGCATGTTTAAACTAATTACTAATTACTAATTAACGTTAAGTAGTACTACCGAAGCTAATTTTAATGACTAATTAATTAGATAAATGAATGTAAAAAAATAAAACTAAGGCGAGAGGCGCCATTAGAAACAAGAAACAAGCCCTCCCACCAACACTCCCGTCTCGCCGTGGCCCCATTAATATTTTTATATCTGGGGGGTGTAACCACAATTTTATTTTTTGTAATTCTTTCCTGTATCTTATGCAACCATTTCAAAAACCACGTGAGGTACATATTCCAACATGGGTGCATTTCATTCTCGTGTGTGTCGTCGCACCAATGTCTGAAATCAAACTGCAAAAGTTTATTTATCGTTTACCAGTGCAGCTAGCTCAATTCTGAAATTTCTGAATGCAGATTTAGAATGTATTTAACAGCATGATTGCCTATGTTAAACTAATTGGTTTTAAGAAGTAAATATTTAATTTTTTGCACGACTGTTTATAGAAAGAGTCCGGCTGTTTTAAACTTTTTCAATAACAACCGATTGAATTGAAACTTTGGGATCTTGCTTCTGGTATGGATCTTCTTTAAACAAATTAAAAAATGTTTTTGTACATAGTTTGTCGATTGATTAAACGTTTTACGTACATATTTCGGGGCTTTTAAGAATATATTTATCCAGACTCTGTTAATGAATGCTAGTGCTACATATTGAAATGAATGCAAGAACTGCAGATAATAGATTTGAGTCTATTATCTATTATCTTGTGCTAATTTGCGAGTGATTTTAAAAATGAAATGCAATATAAAATTTAATTATTTATCAAATTAAATGCAGTTTACATTAGTATTAATAATTAAAAGTTTAAATCATAAATTGTGGTTACACCCCCAGATATAAAAATATTAATGGGGCCACGGCGAGACGGGGGTGTTGGTGGGAGGGCTTGTTTCTTGTTTCTAATGGCGCCTCTCGCCTTAGTTTTATTTTTTTACATTCATTTATTTCGTCGTTTTTAAGTGAACAATTTTTTAACTCCGTCATAAAAATCCAAATCACCATTCAGTTGAAAATTTTCTAATTTCAATTCATATGCATCCATTATGAACCTCTGTACCAAATTTCAGATCTCACCCGTCACCCCACATACCACCCCTCGCGTTGAAAAATTTTACAGTTTCCCTTTATATGCTTTCATTAGAATCCATTATCAAGCTTCATGTCAAATTTCGGCTTTCTGCCACAATTTTTAAATTTTGGTATATAATATACCCCACCCACTTATTTGGCCCCCACCGGTCCAAATCGTGTTTGGCCCCACCTATCGTCGAACTCGACAAATGTTTGTACTAAAGTTTGTCTAAATCGATCAACGCTTTAGAGAGTTATCGAAAGACAGACGGACATGACGATTACATAAGCCCAGGTTCGGGTCATCATTTACACATATAAAGAATTTCTTAACAAAAGTTGCCATGGATGTAACTGAATTTTTTAAATTTCAAACCTCCATAACTTCGTCATTTTGCATCCGATTTTCATGACCCTAAAGAATGATCGTAATATTTTTTTAAGCCCTTTCGATTCCCCTTTGCCGATTTTTCACTTTCAGCTGAATATTTTGAGATACAGAAAAAAAAGTCACTAAAACGAGAAATACACCATGAAGGTATGAACCGATTAAGCCCAGAGATAAATCCGCAATACTACAAAGAATTTACTACCCATCAGTCGAAACCGCATGTCTCTACGACGTATGGTTCTCTCACAATCTTGTCTGACTGTTTTGAGGTGGGCACTTAACTGCATACTATGGCTTCGCCGTAACCATGCACGTATTTTTTTGTGTGCATGGTTACGTTTGGTCTCGCCTTAGAAAAATCACTAAAATCGCCAATTAATTGTTTAATGTTCTAATTAATTAGCAAATTAATTGGCTTAATTACCAACCTGAGTTAAATTACTAATTAGCAGTTAATTATACAAAACATTTTCCTTCTAATTATCAATTACTAATTAATTAGAAATGTGGCTGGTTAAAAAACTCTGGTAGTCATCATCCTCATCATGCTCATAGAGTCGTAAACTCCGTCAACATATGTGCAAATAAAATCAGATCTTATTGTATTTAGAATTGTAGATTAATATCTATATTAATCTACAATTCTAAATCATTAAATATAAAATACAATTATGAAGTGTTTTGTACTTACTTTGTACTTTTGTTACTAATCTAATCCTAACATAGGATTTCTAAATATGCAGACATACAAAGTGAATTGACGTTCAAAATTTATGCCGTCACAAACACAATAGATGCAAATTAAATATATGAAGAAAATTAAAATAATAATAATTGCTTCATTGTATTTGAGTATTAGTTGTAGCACTCGTACGTACATAACTCGAACCATACGACGTATGTACTACAAATATTATGTTTGTATGTACATACACCATGCACGTAACAAATTATTGCATAGTATTGTCATGGCAACGGGTGTCGTGTGGTTATTTATTGTTGGTATGTAACGTAAATTGTTAAACTACGTATATTATTATTTTTCACAATTATTATTTTCCATTTCCACATTTAGCAGCTGTCACAACGATGAACGCTCAATTTAAGAAACCTCGGTGTTTAACTCTGTGGGAGAAATGTTCGGGTAAGTTTTACACATACATATACATTTTATGATAAAATTTTTATCATTTTACATTAAAAATGGATGCATAAAATAAATTTGCACATTTCCAGAACGCTACCCACACTGGACAGTTTCTGAATGCGATGAGTATTTGGCACGAAGTTTTTCATGTCCGCGACCGAAATCTTTGAAGAGTGGTGCCCCCAAAAATGACTATGACTACGTCGCTGTGAGAGAGAACGTGGAGACGGAGAGGTCAGAGGAAGTGGGTGCGGTTAGGCGAAATTGACTGATTGTAATTAATCATGAATTAGCAACATTTAAATTAAAACTTTTTTGCTCCCATTTTTGTAATTTTGTTTAATTTGCTGACCACATTTCTGATAAATGCATGTGGCTTGTCGCTAAATCAGCAAAAGAAAGTATCTGAAGATATGAAATGATTTATAGTTTGTGACAAGTTTTTAGTATTCATGCAATGTATTTATTATATATATGCATATAATAATCTAATGATTAAAAGTAATCCAGATTTATTTAAGTTCATGCTTTACCCTCTCTGTTCATACAGTAAATAGCTGTGAATTAATAGTGAATTTAATATTGTACTTGCATTTTAGTACTTATCATCACTGCAAGAATAGTACACGATAACAAAATGTACCCAATACTTGGGAGCATAGCCGCTCGTGAAGATTGAGGCAAATCGATGTACCAAATTCCATCACGCCAAGTCGTACAATCGGCAACGACACACCCGTCTAGTCCCCTGTTAATCCCGCCAAATATATAAATACGATGCAGCTTTGGCACATAAACGGCGCTCGTCCATGCAAAAAATAATTCCGGGTTACCATTCGTGGGAAAATTGGCCACCGTTATAACCTTATTTTCAAGGGTGCTTGGGTCAAACTGAATTATCGTGTCTGTGTTATAACCCGCCGATATGTTTCCATATCCGCCAATGATATAAGCAAATTTTCCATCCCATACGGCCGCTGGCATTCCGAGCAATCTTGGAAATGTGGGAGGTCCATAGCTTGCCTGTCGCGTATTCAAGTTGACTTTTGCCACCGGATAAGTCGGTGCGATGTTGTCGTCTTCATTTCCAAATATGAAGGCAAAACCGTCCCCGGAAGAAACTGCTGTCATGAACCAGTAAGCTTTTTGCAAATTTGCAATCCTGGATACTGTGAGATCGGTCATATTGAACAGAACGATGGCTTCTCTTTCATGATGTCCGGCGAGAATATAAACCGTGTTTGGCATGTCTCCAGGAATTGAGACCATCTCGAGATTAGGTGCGGGAAGGTCTGCAACTCTGCTGGTAGTGTTGGCGACAGGGTCAAATCTAAATATTAAGCAATAATCATATAGAGATAAGTAGACATATATGTTTCTGTATGCATTGATAAAGTTGTTGCTCAATAAGTAAAGCAAATTATTATGTAAATTCATTATAGATTGTAACCTATAAATTTCTGTCAATGAGACGTGACCAATTGTTCCGTTTTCACGTATAAATTCAATCATCCCGCCGTGAGTGTAAATATTCCCGGAGGTATCGATCGACGCTGACATTTCGAAAACGGGCAGAGGCAGTTCCCCAATTTGGGCGATATTGTCAGAGGAGATTGTGTATTTGTAGATCTCTGACGACTGCGGAGTGTCGATGCTGTAACCTCCCAAAATATAAATCGAGTCGTTGCCATCATAAACAGCGCAACTTCCGTGTTTCGCTTTGGGAAGCTTCACTTTGGACTCCACTGCGACGAACTGGGATTTCACCAAGGAAGTCGAGATGATAAATATTATGAAGAAAGAGAAAAAAATACGCTCCATGGCTGATAAGTCAATTCGTAATTTATTCGCGTTGTTAGTTACAGGTGGATCTCAATAATAATGAATCGAGTTAATTAGTTAATGCAATGGTTCTCATTGATATATAAGCATAACCGATGTGACATTCTTATCTCGATGTTAACAATCTCGATGCCCTCCAAACGAGAGTGAATAGTGACCCGAGTAATTTAATGGATGTTCACACGATAACGGGATTATATGAAGTAGATACTCAAGTAAATAAACTAATTCTTAAAAAACAGCTTAGGTGAGGCTTGCTTAAAAGAGGAAAACAAGTTGTTATCATCGTGTACTAAAATTATTTGACACATCAGTGTTTATCTAACGATTTAAACTTTTCGGTAAATATCCCAGTAAATAATATGCGTTAGGGACCATTTGCCTCACCGTGGGCCGTAATTAATTGTTTGATGCAAATATACCTTCCCGATGGTCATACATTAATATGAACAATTTACAATAATTAACCTAATTAATTGATGCCAATGATATCTCGATATTTCAAAAATTTACGTAAATATACGGTACTTTATATTAGAAATGAAAGCACACGTAACAAATTTGATCATTAATCGATTAAGAATAACGAAATTCGATTACTCTTAATCAATGATAAGAACAAATTACTCAAAATTATGAGCGCACAGCAATATTAAATAGGCAGCAAAATTGGATTACTCGACCCCAATTACCAGGTTTTCTGAAGACCTCCTAAATCCCTAAATCTCCTAAACTTGTCGTCGTATAAGTTGTGAACTTGGCAAAAGAATGGAAAATCTCGGTAGACTAAATCCAGCATCGTTTCATATGAATTGCATTTACCTATGGATTGTATTTACGTAGTGAACACTAATACCGTTTAAATTTATTTCAATTCCTTGTGTCACAAAACGGCCCACGGTGAGGCAAATGGTCCCTAATGCATATTATTTACTGGGATATTTACCGAAAATTTTAAATCGTTAGATAAACACTGATGTGTCAAATAATTTTAGTACACGATGATAACAACTTGTTTTCCTCTTTTAAGCAAGCCTCACCTAAGCTTTTTTTTGAGAATTAGTTTATTTTTTGTCTTTAAACCTATAAGTAACCAATAGTCCCTCCCAAATTAATTTTTCCTTTAGGGTGTAGAGGCAATGCATACCAAATGATTTCTCGATATTAAAGTTACTATCGCTAGGTATTAAAATTATACCAGTGCGTAAGTTGTATGAGTACCGCTTGGTATAATTTTAATACTGGATTTCTAAGGTGTGCCAAATTAGTTCCCCTGTGGGTGTGGATTCATAGTTACGAATATTCATCAATAGTTATGAATATTCATCACATACAGGCACATACGCAAGTACGTAAGTACAAGTGTAACTTGTTTCTATTGTGCTGGTTGCTAATGGAAACCAGGTATTTATGGTAGGTACTGAAGAACCATTATAAGTAACGTAATTGGTTGCAGATGTCACCAAGAAAAGTTTTTCATTTCTTATCCTATTTCGCTCGGGTTTGCTTTAAATGACGCGTTATAGATTTCTGCACATGAAAATTAAGGTCCCGCACTATCATTGCATGGAAAAAGTGAATTTGCCAGTCGTTTGAAAGTTTAAAATCGATTTTAAATGCGTTAAAATAAGAATGTCATGTCTCTAGACCTGACGGGCATCATCTTCACAGTAAGGTCTGCACGATTGCCTTTTACACCATTTTGATACGATTAGCCGTTTTGCCACAAACTTGAGTGGAACTTTGGGAGGGGGGGTCTGTTCGCATACTTAGGCTTCGCCGTAACCATGCATTTTTTCATGTGGTCATGGTTACTGTGCCTCACCTAAGAAAAACTAAAATGTTAATATTTTATTCACATAAAGTTTTTTTGGATTATCATCACATTTTATTATGATGATAAATGATACATGTAAAATTAATATTCCGGATAAGCTGAAGTACGTATGACTCCAGATTATCTAGTTCAACTATTTATATATTTAATAAACGGTAATGCGCCATGAACTTATTGAGATTGTGAAAAACTCAGAAACGCAAGGAGCTTGGAACCTAAACATAATAAGTATACATAGATTCACATGTTATATGTAATCATGAAACGAGTGAGGCCAAAGTTAGGATGCACTTGAGACGTGGTAAATTCCTAATTATAGCGTCTTCATCAATATTGATATAATCGTACATAAATCATACAAATACATACATACATATTTATGATGCATACTTATGTATACAGATACATACAAAAATGTGTATCACAACTTAATTGGAATGTATTTTAGTTGTACAACCTTCTTCCACGTGGCGTCCTGTAGCATAGGCTTGAACAAAGTTTGGGATACATAAATTTCCAAATGTAATACAAATCGGATACCTAATTCTATGTCCTCGTTGCTCTTCGATTTCTCAATTAAATACCGCAAAAATCTCATTTAGTTTCGTCCACACGCCACTATTCCTGAGGGAATACGGAGAAAGTTTTACCGAGTTGTAAAGGAGACCAGAGATACATATTTGCATATAGGGATTACACACATTCGGCCTTGTACAAACTTTATTTTGCCAATCATTAATGCTCTTTATTTATGAATGGCACATTGGTGGGTTTACATATAAAGATACGTGTTATATCCTAACGTTGTGACCTTAATCAACAAGTGTATAGTGGTTATTTTAGTATAGGACTTATGTTAGTCGTGTAAACAGTATCCGAGCAATGCATGGTCCCCAACAGAAGTCAATATTGCTAAACAGTGGGAAACAAAAAACTTATTCTCCGTGATTTGCTCCTTCCAAACTTTCAAAGGACAGAAATTTATTTTATTACTGACAACTTGTCAGGAACAAGGCAACCACATGTGTGGACCACATCTATGTTACTATTTATGATTATTCCAGCAAAATTCATGCAGCTCCCAGGATTTACTACAACACTGCACATGTAGAATGAGTATTAATCCTGAAACAGAGTTCTTTCCTGTTGCTGAGCCTTTCTTTCCTGTTAAAATTCTATCGCCAGAGAGGTGACTTCAACCTTTTCACAATCCGTTACTTTCTCTTGATTCATCCTTATGAGCAAATCCGGACGAAAATATAGTACCTAAATTTGAGAAAATACACAAAATAGGTGTACATTTGTGTACATAAGTGCCGGCGGCGTAAATACTATGCATACATGTATGTATTTACTTATCAAGCTTAACAACAATATCATATAAATAGTTTACTCATAAGGTTAAACAGTATTTCTTCTAAAAGTACACAGTTTTTAGTTATCTATGGATCCTCGATTGTGATACACCATATCATACTTACATTTCCAAAAAGAATTAAAATTATGACATGTATCAATCGAAAGAAATCTTACTGGGAACGACTACAATTCTCCCTGCTTTCAGTGAGACGAGGAATAACTCATTCAGTTGTCGAGTCTGATGAACGATTCTACATATTTCACTCAATGTTTGCAGCTATGCTTAATCTATTTATCCGCTGGAATCTTATACAGACCGGAAGGATTTTGTTACTGCAGATAAACAATTACTGTGGGTATTCGTGTCGCTCAAAAACCTCGTTTAGCAACACATCTTCGCATCTTTGCGAAATTAGCGTCGTGAACGACAAATATTTAAATGAAAATATATAAACTGAAAATGAGAAGAGAAATGAAAATTCAATTTGACGAGTTTGCGAAAAACAGCTTACGACGATAATAAATGTCTTTTTGTGTCACAAACTTCGTACAAATTCGGATTGGTTGTTGCAATTGCAATCGCAACAATTCGCAAACGTAGCAAAGATACGTTGCGAAGATAAGTTGCGAAGCGACGTTTACAAAGTTGACGTGAATACCACATTGTTTCCAAGTATTAATTAGTACATGTTTTCCAGAGGAAAACACCGATTACAATCCCAGTTGTGTAACATGGTGTGTACTTATTTACCAAAAGGAATTCTTCCCCTTGGAAACCCTTTATCAACCATCATTCAGAGTAGCATTTCTCATGTCACATTGTACCAGAAGAGAAAGTAAGTAAAAACATTTTCTGAACATGGCTTAGTCGCACTGCATCGCTGCACGAGAGAGAAAGCAATTCCATTACTCACCTCTCTCGATATATATGTATGAACATATAAAATCTGCTATTCAGAAGTTCATACTCTGCGTAGACCGGTAACCGGGGTACATATCTATCACTCACTGACTAATAGTCGGTGACTATTCATTTGGACACAATGCCGAACCCACGTGATGTTCGCTTCAACCTTGACCATGCCAGTTTTAATGAGAGTCTATTGAGTCTAAAAAATTCGACACTTGACAACTTGATTCAATATCCGGATTTCAATCAGGTATGTAGGAAAGGAATTTCATGATTATGGATGTTACATAATTCTGATTTTAAGAGGAATCACAATTTATTTTAATTTCATAACTACAGTTTTTTCATTACGAATAGAAATAAGGTATTCCAAAGTAGTAATTTGTAAAGTTTTTTTATTTTAAACTTTGAAAAACGCTTGATTGGAGTTGTACAAAAAAAAAATTTGTAAAAATTACAAATCCGTTTGTGATAGTAGCATTTTTATATCTTTTGCCTTAAAATACGCTGCGGCTTTTTGCCCCTTTCGGCCCCTCCCCCTCGGGCAAGACACGGAGTAGAACCAAATTAATGGCACCGTTGTGCTCACAAAAAATTGCTCTGAAAGCTGTAAATCGAAACAAACTCAAATTTTTCATGTCTCTCGAATCTCCAACTTCCGGTTTTGAATATTGTTATCTTCAAGTAGATATTTGCCATACTTAAACCTGATATCGTTTACATCGCGTTTCAGAATCCCATTATGCTGTCCATCGTCATTGTCTTGTTCGCATCGGAGAGCTTGATTGGCGTGTTGGCGAACTTCTTGGCGTGTGTCACCATCTTCTTGAACAAGGCGCTGCAGTCACCTTTCAACCTGTACATCTTGAACCTGAGCATTTGCGACCTGTTGCTTGGAATAGTCGTGCTTCCCATGAAAGTAAGCCATCACTTTTTTACACGGATTACGCACATGAGAACTACAGTTGATTATTTATCGCT